ATCGAGTATATATATATATTAAACTATCATAATTCGTTCTTTATATTTCATGCATAATTTTTTAAAAGTAATTATTAAATTTTAAAATAATGTCTAAAAATTATTGTGATATTTATTAATTAACTATTAATGTATTTTTTTATATTTTAATAATTAATTTATTTAAATATAGTTTTTTATTATTTAAATAAATTTATAATTTATTAAGTTAATTTGGAATCAGGGAAACATTTCTTCCTTTGATGCCCGGTCCAATTTCCTTTTTTAACTAACAGAATACATAAATATTTCAGATCTGCAGCTCGTTCGTTGTCCCGTTTGCAACCTCAACACATGCGAAGGTAGGAGAGGGGATAACGATAAGATCGGACGACTAGAATCCAGCAAAGATCAGCAAATTATGATCCTCTCTCTCATAAATCACTTGAATTTCTAATTTTGCCGCTGCTGTTTCTTTACAACATGGTGAGGTCATCTTTGGCACAGGGACGATGCAGATACTGGACGTGAGGCACTTTGAGCTGTTCCTCGAAGAGAGCTTCAGAAATGGAAGCTGGCAGTTCGAAGACATCGGATCCCATCGCATTGAAAAGCAATCCCAATCTGCTTCTGGTGGCGTTTTCGATTATAAACACATCTATTCTCCTTGCACTGCAGGTAAACTTTGTTCTGTTCTCTTAATTAATTTATAAAATTCTCTCTTAGTTTCATGGAATTACATTCAAATTATTTTTAGAGAGTCTGACTTTTGACTCTAAACAGAATATCTTCATTAGAATTTCTTACACCCTTCAATGTATTTTCTCTTCTGATTTTTAAGTGGTTGGATAACATCACAATTGTTAATTATATATATGGCATAGAAAAAACGTGTTCAACTCTTCTTTTTTTATTTTCGGGTCTCACTGTCATACATGTATAAGAAGAATTTCATATATTGGAATATATCAGCTCAAAATCCTATGTTAATATTGTACATAAAAAAGTTCATCAGGAGATTTAACTGTTCAAAAGAAAAGAGTCGGCGAATAGAGGACCATGATGCCTATTTGTCTCACCGAGTGAAACTGGTCGAGCCAAAGCTAATAAGGCTAAAGTTGATAGAACCATCAGAAGACCAAAAACCACCAGAGGATACAAGAACGAGCTATTAAAAAAAAACAAGGCAAGAGGACATCCAAGCTAATTGTCACATGAGATCCGATTCAAGGAAAATCCAGTTTCCTAGCATCTCTAACCATTCCAGAGACATTCAAAGGTCCTTTATGAGAGGTTAAGGATATGCAATAGGGGCATATCAAATGGCCGGCTCATACCGACCAAATTTAGTTGACTAATAACATCACTGCTTATTAAAAAAATGCGTAGGTTAGCATTCCGCCAAATGACGGGTTCATTGGCAACCGACATAATAATATGGTCGTCAGTTAATATTTTCTTTTAACCAACGACATAAGACGTTGGTAATGATTAAAATCGTTGAAAAAAAAATTATTGTTAATAAGTGATGACATTTTTTGTTGTTAAGTCATCGCAAATAACCCAGATCATAAACCGTCGTTGCACCATTGGAAAATGAAACATTTTTTATGACTCAAACGTAGGTTGTCGGTTTTGCTATCCGTCTTAGCATTTTTTCCTGTAGTGTGAGCTTTCCTTTGCTTGGTGCCAACGAACAAAACAGATGACCCAACCAAATGCGTCAGCACAACCTCTTTTCTCTTCTTAATGATGGCTTTCTCTTTCCATTCATCTTTCAAGTAGTATTGCTCTTTCAACCTTCCTAAGGTAACTCGACGCAGATATTTACAGGGGATATCCCTCTGGGGATTCAACACGTTCTCCATTTCAATGGTTGGAAGCCTACATATTCAAACGAGAAGGGATGTGGAACAAAAATGCAATGTAAAGAGTCCTATCATGCCTTATTTATAAGGATCAAAGACACGAAAATTAAGAAAGTTCTATTATTGAATCATAAAATTAATAATAAATGTGATATACTTTTTACATTAAATTTTATTTATTTTTTCACATAGCTTTCAAAATCTAAGAGAATCAAAGAGCTAAAATATGTACATAAAAAATGTGTCAGCACTAATCCTGATGAGATCTATCAACTTAGAAGAAAAAAGTACGGCGAATGAGGGCTCGCAAAAAAAAGCCCATGCGGCCCAATTATCCAATTGAGTGAAGCTGTCTAAGCCAAAGCTAGTAAGGCTAAAATAGACCAAATTGCGAGACAGACCAAAGACGATCAGTGGATACAAGAAATAATCATTCAGACAACAATGAAGCAAGAATACATACTAGCCAATTGTCACAGGAGAGTCGATCCAAGGAAAATTCAGTTCCCTGACATCTCCAACAATCCCAGAGACATTCAGTGACCTTTCATCAGTGCTCAAGAGTCGACAATCGAGTCATATCAACCAATTGACTCATACCGATCAAACTTAGCCAACCAAGTTGAACCCATCAAGCAAAGCAGATCTCAGTTGATCAAGCTAATCCTGCCAACCTAAAGCTAATTGAGTTTAGTTGACCAACCTAATGAGCAGACGATCGATAAGCTCGTACATGTAGAATACCCAGAATACCCTGTACAATCTCTTTTAAAGCATGGAAGAATGTGTAATATCAAAATTATATTCTATCTCCTATATATAGGGAGATCATTTTATGATTGATGCGACTTTTTATTGTTCACATATCTCTCTTTTCTAGCTTCTCTATTCCTTCTAATGCTTATTTCGAACATTATATTTGTACAATCTGAAATAAAAATATGCCAGGTTTCTCCACCTTATCATACACTTAGGATTTAAAAATATATTAATTTAAGTAATATAAAGTGTCCTGTTTATTCACCGCGCTGTCGCAGGTTTGCTTGATACCTCCGGTTGGCTAGCGGATCCCTGCGATTGGCAACCGAGGGCAAGACTCTCCCCCCACGCCGTCGCCGTCAACACAAACCTGCAGTCCAATGAGGGTGAAGACCTCATCTCTTCTTCTCTATTCTTCATCCCACTCTTTGCTTTCGTAACCACTTCCATTCATGTCATGGAGTATATATCTTATACTGCACAGGTCTTCACGTGAGATTCCAGGCTATGAGGAGCAAAGGTTCGGATGGAAAAGTAGTTTCCATAAGAATCTCACAGCAGCTCATTTGATCCTTTTCTTCTCCTATCGTTCCCGCGAATGAGCCTTTTGACAAGTGGCCTTGCGTTAACTCTATTCTGCAACAGTTTTCAGAGCGTGCTTATCAGATGTTGAGGTAATTGATTCTTATAAGTCGTAGTAGTAGTAGTAGTAGAATAAAGAGTTATTAGCATATACTGATGAAAGAGGAAACATTGAGGGCCTTAGTTGGATTCAATATATCAGTGCGGATGAACATTTTATTAATTGATAATTCAAATTTTTTGTTACGATTTTAACGCGGTGCTGTTCAATCTATTCTAACTTACATGCCGAAGTATGCATGCATGTGCATCATATTTGAGTAAAAATATCTTCTTTTTTTTTTCCGAGAAATTTGTTTCTTAAAAATTGTTTGTGAAAGAGAATTTTGAGAAAGATTTACAACGTAATTTTCGAAAGTAGTTCGTCAACTTTTAATATGAGAAGTAGAAACTAAACAAAAGTACCTCCCAGTTCTTAATCAGGACAAAATTGCTGCTTTATTGCATTAGCAACATTTAGTTTTTGTTAAAACTGAAGATCATTACGAATTAAAACTCAAATACCATTTTTAAATTTATTAAATAATTTTTTGTTACGATTCAGACTTCAGTAATTTATTTTTAAACTTCTTTCTCTCAAATATTGTTCCCATTTGGCCATTAGATTGATCTTTATTTATTTTTATTTTTTGTATGGGAGTGTTGAAATGGACTTTTGATTTAAGCAAAGTGCTTTCTATTGCACTTCAGAGCTTTTTATTCCACTTGTGTGGATCTACTGTTAATTGCTTGTTACTGCAATTTTTTACAAGATCAGGCTAGGTTATCAAGGCCATAGCTACTTGCAAAAAGTTGTATTAGAGAAAGTCTTGGAGATCTGAAATTACTCCTGCCTGTTTGAAAATGATATTGTTGGTTGAACAAATTATATAAAATGAGTATGGCCTCATTTTCATGAGGATAGAAAAAACAAGTTTCTCAAAAGTTGATTATTGATTTATGTAATCATTCATTTTTTCAATAGTTTGAGATAAAATTTTAAAATACTTTAATGAACTTAAACTTAATTTGATTAAAAAAAAACCAAGTTTATTAATTTCTCAAAACATTTCTCTTAGTGGTCTTATATTTAGCTAAAGTATGGCTGATGTTTAGGATATTTAGGAGTTGATAAAATATTGATATAAATAAAACATTGCAGTTCAAACCAAGCATCCAGCAAAATGTATATATATAGATTGTCTCCTTTTTACTTTATTATTAGTATTTTATTTTTTTCTCTTTCTTATTTTATAAAGAACATAACTAGGCTTTTATGGAATGTTTTATAGTCTTTTAAATTATATCATTCTTCATCATTGTTGGCATCAATTTTTTGATGTCACGAGTGTCGACAAATTTTATACGTCGCGCCGTGCACGAAATTGGCTCGAATTGACCCGATCACCAGCGAGCTCGTTCAAATAGCCCCGGATGACGAAATAGACCGTGCCGATGCGTCCGGAATGCCAAATTTAGTCAAGAACGATGCCCATTTCGTCGCGGGGACATGTTTGGGTGGAAAATTCGTGCGAGAACACTAATTATAATAATAATGATAATAATATAAAATTATAACGTTTTATATATATATATAACAGACCCACGCATGAGAGAGGGAAAACAATATTTCCATATAGCTGATAAAATAAAATCATATATATCCTATTGGTAGCTCTCCCTCTCTCTTCCCCTATTCTTTCCGTTTTCTTCTCACCCACGCACAAAACAAAATAAAAGGAGAAGTGGTCCCATGCAGAGAAGTGGTCCCATGCAGTAAAAAGAAGGATAATAAATTTGTAATAAATGTTATATTTATCCTTTCTTTCTACAGAATGGAGGCATCTCTTCCTCTCGAAAAAAAAAAAACTCGCTTCGTCGGACGGTTATTTTTGGAAAAATTATTAGGTCCGACGACCGCATGTTCTCTGCATGCGGTAGCGAATGTAAAATTAACATGTGTAATGGTGGCCCCCAGCGAAGATAAATAAGCAGAATGCGTGACCCG